ATGAATCAATTATTTAAGGGTTGATGAATGAAAAGAATGAAATTTTGATGATAATGAACTCCAAATGAGGTTTTTAAAAATCCCATTTAAACAAATTTTCTCAGATTATTATTTTTCTTTGTTTCAAATTTTTCAACATTATTAATTAAAAAAATTGTCATAATTCATGAAAAAATATTTTCTAAAATTTTTTTGTCTTCCATTTAAATAAAAATTTCCATAAAAAAACTTTAATCATTTAAAATACAATTTATAATAAATCTATGCATATGTACTGTCCATTTCCATTTTTTCGTATAATTTTTTTTGCATTTAAAAATATTAGCTTTGTTATAGAAATTTAGTAATAATATTTTGAGAGAAATTTTAATTTTTTTGATAGTTAAGAAGAGATTTTAATGATTTTAACTTAAAAAATCAATCAAGTTCTGAAAATTAAATTTAATTTCATCAATTTTGTTCTCTTAAAAAATCTCAATTTTTTCAAAATATATTTTAATAATAAAAAAATCCTATAAATATAAAACTACTAAATCTCTTTTTTTTTCATATTTTTCTTTTAAATATAAATTCTTTTAAAATAGAAAACAAAAGATTAAAAACTCAATAATAAAAAAAGAAAAAGTATAATAAAACAGAAAACAAGAAAAAAACTGGTCGGGAATCGAACTGGGAATTGTGAAATATTTTTTCTTAGTTTTAAACTAGTTTTAAGTACCAAACAATTGTCTTAAGTTCCTTAAACAGAATTAGGGAAAAAAATTTCATGAGTAGAAAAATTTTGCGTCCATGACAACCAATTTTTTTCACTTTCTTTTAAATATATTTTTAATATCAAAAGTTTTATAAATTTTCAATTTACTCTAATTTATTAATTTTTTATAATAGAGAGAATTTTTTTTCTTCAAACTTCCACGCGCAAATACTCGGAAATTTTTCTTTTTTTTAAATTCCACACTTTGTGAATATCAAAAATTCTGAATTTGATATAATATTTATAAAAAAATTTCACTAGATTCAATTAATCCTAATTATTAATTTTTTAATTTAAATTAATCTTTTTTTTTCATCAATTGTTGCCTCGTATAAAAATTTATAAATTTTTGGAATTTTGCTATTTTATCAATTTTTTAATATTTTTCATTTTCACAATTTTGAAGCTGCAAGCTTACAAATTTTTTTAGGTTATGTGCCCGAATTTAATTACTTTTTTCACTTCAATCGTCAACTTAGTAACGCACTTTTCGCGAAAAGTAAATGCGAGAGATTTTTTTGAGGTTACATTAGCTCAAAGTTTTGAAACTAACCTCAAAATTGAAGACAATTTTCTTAAATTATTCTCAATATGAGTGAGTTTTTTCTCAGTCTAACCTCAACTTGAGCGCGTTTTTCTCATTTTTGCCTCATTTTGAGCGCGTTTTTCTCAGTGAAACCTCATAAATGAGCGCTGTTTTGCTCTAACCTCTAAAAATGAGCCCGATTTTCTCGCATTTTATTTTCCTGTACTCAATTAATATCTTTTAATTTATCGTTTCCAATTTGATTTCTTTTTATAATTCTACTCACAATTGTTTCAATAAATTTGCATTTAGATTGACCAATGAATAAACCTTTTTTTTGCGGAAATTAGTTAAAAACAGAATCTATAAAGCTATATAGGAATTTAAAAATATGAATATGAATAAAATAAATCTTTTATAATGTCAATTATTGTTTCTGTGGGATATTTTTCATTTGGGTTTTTGAATTTTGTTTATAGATTTCTTGTTAAAAAGTGTTTAAATATTTTTTTTTTGTTCATTTTTCACATTGTTCTTTTTGGTTTCTGTTGGAAGGTGCATTGTCACATATTGTTTTGAGAGTGTCTTCTTGGAGGGGGTGTGGATTAGTGTGCATCTTGAGTTGGCTTTGTTATTCAGCTTTAGATTGGAATTTCATCGATTTTAGCTACAGCTAGGTTTTCAAGACTAAGGTTTTTTAATTGAACGAGGAGGAGATTGTCCTAAGCTTAGTCATTAAACCTAGCATTTTAACTAAAGTTTGGCTATTTAGTAAATTATTCGACCAAATGAACACAAAAATCATCTTAAGCGTGCTCTTCGCAGATGAAATAATCTTGAACGCGATTTTCTCAAATAGGAAAATTTTTGAGCGCGTTTTAAAAGATGGAAATTTTGTAAAACTCTCTAATAATCTTCAAAATGAACTATTCATCCATAACCCCATCCAGAAAACTAAAGTATATTATCATATATGATTACTCTATGTAACCGTTCCTGCATCAAATCTAAATTTACATAATAATAAAATCTATAATAATATATAATAGAATATTGAATATTAAAAATGTAAAATTATTACTTTATATACTCTGTCATCAATATAAACTTCTTCATTCGTCATCTACTCGCTTAAAAAATAATTGCTTTTAATTCTTTGCATTTTTTTTCTCCTCTTAAAAAACGGTTATATTTTAATTATTTTTTTGAATTCGTATAAAAATGAAATATATTTTTATATTATTATATTTTTATATTTTTTTCTTGAGAGATTTTCGTCTTCCATTTTAAATATTTTCTTTATCTCCGTTTAATGGCTAAAGTGTAATAATATCTCTGTGTGTTTATTTATTATAAGTTTTTAATATTTTTAAGTAAATTTTTTTCATGTCTTTGCGTTTATACAATAAAATTTAAATTTAAATTTTACGTTATAAATTGTTTTTTTAAAAATGAATGAATTTTCATCAATTTTTTTCCTCGCTTCTTGTTAACAATTTTTTCGCAGGGTTTGGAAAAATCGTGAAAATTTTTCGGTGTTTTTCATGAAAATTTCGGTGTTTTTCATGAAATTTTCGGTGTTTTTCATGAAAATTTCGGAGTTTTTCTCGAAAATTTTAGAGTTTTTCGTAAAAGTTTCCAAACTTCTTGCGAAATGATTTTTGCATTTTTACAGCACTAGTACGCAATCTCCACTCAAACATTCTACGTATATCCTTTACATATTCTTTATACAACTTATTGTAACCGTCTTATTCGATGCATCTTGTTTGCATTGCTGCACTTTCATGTTCATTTCTGCCGTTTAATTATGATAAATTGTCAAAATTACTTATTTTTTTTTCCTCAATTTAACATTTCTTAATTTCTATTTTTCCACAACCATGATTTCCATATTGAATTTCTCACGACAAATGACTTTGATTTTATATTTCGACATCCATTCGTAGCTGATTTCTCAATTTTTTTTTTATCATTATTCAATCTCAAAAATGTTATAACAAAATATTTCACTTTTTTTTTTATTAAATTTTGAATGCAATTTTTAGCGCAATTTTCGCAAATAACCAAAAAAATTTGCTTATATTTTTTTTCATTTAAGAGCAATTGATTTTAATATTTTTTGTCCCTAATTTCCAATGGATGTAAATTTTAGCTAATTTTGAGCGCGTTTTTCGCGCATTTTTCACTATTTTTTGGTTCAAAAAATTTCATTTAATTTCGAAGCTCCAATTTTTTTTCATCTTATTCATAAAAATCAAAGAAAAATCTTTTTTTAAGTTTCACATCGAAAATGTTTTATGAACTTCCACGCGGTGTAGGCATGGTGGCTGTTTAATGGATTAATATTGCGACATAAAAGCTTACGTTGACAATTATTGACGACATTTAGTATTTTTTTGTAACAAATTGGTTGTGGATTTAACAATTAGATGATGAAAAATTTTAGGGTTAGGGTCATTTTGGCGGGTAAATCTTCATTTCAGGTTAGTTATGTTCTCAAATCTAGTACTTTTGTGATTCTATTTGCGGTTAGTGAAATGTACTAGATTAGTACTACAAAGTACTAGATTAGTACTTAAAAGTACTTGACTAATACTACAAAGTACTAGATTAGTACTACAAAGTACTAGATTAGTCCTACAAAGTACTAGATTAGTACTACAAAGTACTAGATTAGCTCTTAAAAGTACTAGATAAATCCTGAACAAGAATTAAACTCCAAAATTAAACAACCAGTACCCCAAACCTTATGAATATGAACGATTACGATGACATTTTTGCAGAAATGAATGGTTCAAGTTTGGATTCTGTACAAAAAAGGTTAATGATTATTATTGTTATTATTCACATATGTGGTTTTTTTTTTTGAGATTTTATATTATTTTTATTAAATGTACGGCTAGTGATTTGCTGTTTGTGCGTTTTCATACTTGAAACTTATAGAAATGCAAAGAGAAATTAAAAGTTTCATGATTAAGAGGTTTTGGGACAATTTTTTTTTGCATAGGTTGATACCCTGTGAGGGGTATACAACTAGTCTCAATCCCCATAAATCACTGAACGTATCAGTTTTTGAGTATTTTTATACATTTTGCTGGCGTTTTTCGTAATATTTTCATGATAATTTTCTTGTGAAAAACTTTTAATTGATTTCTTAGTATTGAACTTCCACGCTGAAGCTTAAACTTTTTTGAAATTTTATTCAGTTGTAGTAATTTTGAGTACTCATTAGTATCTTTAGTAGTTTTGTCCTCAAACTTCCACGCGAAAGTATCAATCATAGTTCTAGGACCTTAAACTTCCACGTGGATTACAGTTTCTTTATGATTTAGTCAAAATGAAGGACATTTATTCATAATTCGATTCAACTTTAATGCATTAGCATTTAATCAATAAAAATCTTGATTCTTGAATAAGGGCAATAAATTTTCTTCATTAATTTAAATAAACTTTCTCATTTTGGGCAATCCTTGATCTACAATATTTTTTCTTTTGATTCTTAATGTCTTTTTTTACTATTCATAAACTTCCACGCGCATGCATGAAATATTTGAAATTAAATTAAATTATCCAATTTTCTAAAACTTAACACGAAATTATAATCTTCAAGATTCAAAATTTTTTAACATAAAATATTCATCGACTTTATCTTAGCTGCCGCCGAGAAGTTTCATCATTTTTATAAAAATTAAAATAATTAACTAAAATCATTTAAATCGCCAACTTAATTAATTACTACATTTAATCTTTGTGTATGTCTCTGTGTGTGTCTGTGTACATATCATATAAAAAAAATGTGTTTCAATCATGTTTCAATTTAGACCATCGTCTTCATTGACTGTGTTGGTTTCTGATTACAAATCAAGCACGGTTCACGTGCATCACAAGATCGTTCACTACATTCAGCACAGTAGATCTGATGACCGCATGGGATGAGCATTGAATTGATTTCCTTTTCGCCACAATAAAAGCATGTCTTCATCTTATTTGCATTACTGGATGTGAGTAGTGAGTCTGTTGGTGAGGCTGATGCTGTCGGTGATGAGCGAGATCCAAGCATTGATGAATTTGGAAGTGACCAGATGTTAATTGGTGATGAATCGCCAATACCTTCGTCGCAGTCAATTGAATTCTCATTTCCTATTGTGTTCCATAAATCTATCAATTCTGGTCGGATCATAATTGAGGCTGACTTTGATGATGTTGATGAGCCGGATGAGGATGATGAGCATGTGGATGAGCCAGTTGATGATGTCATTTGTGCACCATTTGCGAATGCATTCATTTCTGTGTCCTTCAAGTCTAATTGCTCGAGAAGTGAGCTTAAACCGTTCTTGTATAAGCTTGTAAGGAGTTCCTGACTCATGTCATTTGAATGTACATTGCCGGTTCTTAATGCGATGTGTGCTTCAATTTGTTTTCTTGCTGACTGAACATTATCTGGAAGGCCTGTGACTTCAAAGACTGGCTCCTTATCGCGTGATGGAGTTACAATATAAGTCTGAGTTGATTGCTGAATGTGCTTGATTGTGGCACCTTTTGGTCCGACTACTAGTCCGACTACAATAAATGAAGGAAGAAGAAATTGAAGGAAGAATTCAAATCACAAGAATTTTAAAACTTACCAACTCGATAAGGAACTCGAACAAGAATTGTAACTTGTCCAGGAATTGTTGGCGGTCCTGGCGGTGTTCCCTTTAATCCACCCAACAATGATGGTTTTCTTGATGCACGAATAAGACTGAAATGCTCAGCTGCTGATAAAATTTCACGCTTTGCTTTGGCAACATCTTCTTTACGTCCGGTGACAACAAAGACTGGTTCCTCGCCTCTGACTGGTGTCTTTATGTAAGTGTTTGTCTTTGCACGGAGTGCTTTGATTTTGCAACCTAAAATTGGAAGAGAATTAAAGGATGTTGATGAGTAAAATAGATTTTCAGATTTTGAGGCTAAAATTCCCCAATTCCCATGTTTTGAAGTTACAATTTAAGTTTTGAGGTTAGAATTCAAGATGTGAGGTAAGAATTCAAGTTTTGAGGTTAGAACTCAAGTTTTGAGGATAGAATCTAAAATTTGACGTAAAGATTCAAGTTTTAAAGCTAGAACTCAAGTTTTGAGGTTAGAATTTAAGTTTCGAGGTTAGAATTCAAGATTTGAGGTTATAATTCAAGTTTTGAGGTTAGAACCCAACTTTTGAGGTTAGAACTCAAGTTTTGAGGATAGAATCCAAAATTTGACGTAAGAATTCAAGTTTTAAAGCTAGAACTCAAGTTTTGAGGTTAGAATTTAAGTTTCGAGGTTAGAATTCAAGATTTGAGGTTATAATTCAAGTTTTGAGGTTAGAACCCAACTTTTGAGGTTAGAACTCAAGTTTTGAGGATAGAATCCAAAATTTGACGTAAGAATTCAAGTTTTAAAGCTAGAACTCAAGTTTTGAGGTTAGAATTTAAGTTTCGAGGTTAGAATTCAAGATTTGAGGTTATAATTCAAGTTTTGAGGTTAGAACCCAACTTTTGAGGTTAGAACTCAAGTTTTGAGGATAGAATCCAAAATTTGACGTAAGAATTCAAGTTTTAAAGCTAGAACTCAAGTTTTGAGGTTAGAATTTAAGTTTCGAGGTTAGAATTTAAGTTTCGAGGTTAGAATTCAAGATTTGAGGTTAGAATTAAATTTGTGAAGTTTAATTCAAGCTTTAAGGTTATAAATTATTCAATTAATCCCAAATCCTACCAACAAAATCCCAATTCATATAAGTTGTCTGTTAAAATGTTCAATAATATCCATTCCGCCCCAACCAAGAACCAATTTGCATGTCTGGAATAAAAATATCATATTTTTTCTATTTACGTCGATTGCATAAAATCTGTCTGGCTGCATAAAGCCGTATATATGTTCCGTTCATGCATTCCAATGCACGTCGTACAATTTGCAGGATTTCAAATCACCCAGCCACCCAAGTCTGCAATAATTCTGCTGGTTTAACAACACTATAAAAAATTCCTTTGGAAACGTTCCAGCGCCCGTCCATACCACCCACCAATTTAAGTACATAACGAAACCAGGAAGCAAAACTATGGCAACGACACATAAAAGAGGGTGGCAATGTCGAGACATGCGCGTAACATCCAACTCAACACACATACAATCACATGATAGAGTTCCTTCGCCCCGAGATTTTTTTTTCCACATTGCAGAAAAGGCACATAACAAAAATAAAGAAAATCTATGTCGATGCGGTGTGGTGTGTTTTGTCTGTAAAAAAAACTGAATTCTGTGATGTTATGCCACCCTTTTTATATATGTCATGAGTATGTAGTTGTACGATGTGTACGTGCATATATACCATTAATATTTATGAATGTAGTCGAATTTTGTTTTTGGAGTAATTTTTTTTTTTACGATGAACACTTTTGTATGTTCTGTGTGTTAAGGATTATTTTGATGCTTTCTCTCGTAGGAAAATGATTAATAATGAATTGAAATGGGATATTTTTGCTGCCTGCCTGCCTGCCGTTCTCGAGGTTTCTCGCAGGACGTGAAATGTTCTTTTTTCTTCTTTTTCTTTGAGGATGGGAGTTCTAATGGGAATAGCAGGCGATGAAAAGAAAGTTTTTTTTGCTGTGCTGTGTATGGAATTGAATGAATGGAGAAAATTCCAGAGAATTTTATTTTTTAGGGATGAACGACTTTCATTCAGGAATTGGATGATTTTAGTGGAAATTTTGTTTATTTATAGAAGATGAATGGGATGTATTTTACTGCAAATTATTGCTAAGATGCTTGACTTATATTCCTAAAATTCTATGTTATCAATGGTTCTGAAGAGCCATGAGCAGACTGTCCATCAGTTTTTGACGATTTTTGGTTAAAAAGTGTGACATGTCCCGATTTCAGTTCTAAAATAGCAGGACAGACCAAATTTTCTAGCATTTTCCAAGAAAAACAGGTTCAGAAAACGGGATATTAAGGATTTTATGCGAGACTTTGTTGGGAAAAAACGAGACTGCCCAATTCAAAAGTGCACAGCTGAACAGCCTATCCATGAGCTGCTCGACTTTCCAGCCTTCATCTGTCTCATTTTAGATGAATCAGTTAAGAACATCGACGGTTCTGCATTAAATGACTTAAAAATCCAAGTTCTAAGTATGAAAAACTCAATGAAATAGCGATAGTCATTTACATTAACAACACTGCATGTAAACTTGCTAAATATAAGCACCAGTAACCATTCGAAATGACATGGAGCTAGATTCCATAATATCTAGTTCCTCTCCTGCTTCTATGCTTTCTCGATTTCTCGGTCTCGACTAATTTTCCGAGACCAAAGATGAGACTGAGACTTCGCTGGAAGCATACTTGCATCAAGCTTTTCTGTTCACTATTTTCCATCTTTTTTAAACCGTGCGCCATTCATAGAACCTTCTAGAATAACAAATTCATATTTTTAACTCCTTATGATGCGTAATTTCTCCAAGAATCAATTCCAATTTCAATACGCAAATTCTTTAATAAGCTTTCATAAATTTCCTGAGTTTTTCTTTTTCTACTTAAAGATTCTTTTTCTCATTTCCTTTAATTTTTTGCTTTTTTTTTGTTGGCAAATTGAGTTTTTGAAGCCTTCCAATTTTTGCTATGCCCAAAGATAGGCTTCCTTTTTGTGGACATAAAAAGTTTTAAAATTAACTTTACTTTGTTCTTGCTCTGATAAGAATTTTAATTTCCTTCAGATTTACTTGGAAATGTGATTATCTTTGCTGATGGGAAAATTGTGTCTTGAAGGGATCCTCAAAGAGTTCAGAGGTCAGTTCCTAAGGCTCCTAAGGCAGTCATGGCCTAATTTCTAATGTCATTCATACTAATTCATACTAATGTGCATCCCCGAATAGCACAAGTCGGTTAATTTGATCAGAAATCCGGGATGAAGCTACAGTTACACAAGTTTCATGCCAGATTTCTGATTGATTGAGCAACTTGTGCTATTAAGGATTCATTAGGAGAGCAAGTCAAGCTCTGTCTCCTTCAAAAATCATTGCTATACCTTCTGTGAGATTACATTGGTCTTCCTAAATCTTATCCGTAGACTTGCAATCTTTAAATACAAAAGAACTCCAACAATCTCAACTAGCACTAGGATTTAGCAAGTGACTTGAGCTTCCATCTCTTGAGACACTCAAAACTTATCTCTTATGCCTTAATCCTACCCCTTTGACATTCCCCATCAACCCGATCACATTCAAAGCTTTCAATTTCTCCTCAAACAAGCTGTAAGCAGCATCACTTAAACACCTTCATTCATCCATGCTTCAAAACAAGGAAGACTTTTTTCCCTTCATCTCTTTTTTTTGTCTGAGCTATAGCTTTCGGTAAATATTTACAATCACTTTGTTTGTCTTAATTTTTTATCTTCTCGCATTTTTTTTGTGTGTGCTTATTTTCTGTCTCTGTCTCGTCCACTTTTTGTAGCCTGAAGCCTCTTGCTTTTTTCCAGTTTGATGGATTTGAAGTAATTTTTTTAAGTTGCTAATGTTTTAGGGCTGTTTGTTGGGGATGTAATGGGGTGTGGATGGGGATTGAGTGTGGTTGTTGGGATTGTTTACTTAACGACAAGTAACAAAGTCATTTTTTCAAAGTTCTTAAAGCGCATTTTATTTTAAAATGTAAAAAAGCTCCGAAAATGTATTGAAATTTCAAGAAATATTCAATTTAAATTTCTCAACCCTCATAAATAATTGCAAAGTCACCAAATTCACTCCCCGAAAAAAAAATCCACTCATAACCTCAAAATAAACACAAAAACGTAACGACTGCATAAAAAAATCACAAAAAAAGGTTCGCATTGTTATCAAAAAAAATTGGACCAAAAAAGAATTTGCATAAAAGGTAGATAAACTTTCCCCCTCACCAAAGCTCCTCAATTCAATTTCCTTTTGTAAAGAAAAATGTCTTACAATGTCAAAAGTATGTGGGCTTGTAGTAAGTAAGGCATTCGATGAAAGTGATGAGAAAAATCAACAAAAAGGGAAAATTGATGGTGCTTCTTGAATTTTTTTGTATGATTTGTTGGATGAGAAAAATCAACAAAAAGGGAAAATTGATGGTGCTTCTTGAATTTTTTTGTATGATTTGTTGGTGGATTTGTGATGTGTTTATGTTTTTAACTGAGTGGCTGTATAGCTGAGTGGCTGGTTAATGTGGTTGTTGATGCTTGGTGGAACTCTCTTCGTCTCATTGTCACAATGATTTCTTACAAATGGAATTATTTTGCATACAAATCCTTGCCTAAGACACACAAGGGACCGTTCATTTATGAAATCCAAAATAAGAATCATTTTTCAATAAAAACAATGGATTTCAAGGAATTTCTGTTGTTCTTTTGTTCATGACCCCCAAAAACAACCCCCCCCCCCCTTCTCGGCCTCTTGGACGTCATAAGTGATCAGCCCTCAAAGCCAATACTAAATCTATTCTATATAATCCATACTTGACCAATAACTAACCCACACCTAACCTATAATAGCCCTAAACCTAACCTAATCAGCGTTAAACCTTCTTAGATGCTCTGGTTCTCTAGATAGCCTAATGGTTTGCTAATTGAATGGCTGAACCATTTGCTAGCTCCTTGATTGACTTACTTAAGGACTAGACACATGATTTGCCAGGTTTATGACAAACTAGGCTGAAAATTGCCTAGTTCAATGGCCGGTTTGGTAAAAAGCACCACGACTAGCTTCAAAGCTGATCAAATAGTTGACTAGCTTTATCACTAAGATCACATATTCCATAAAAAACTCAACATCCCCAACCATAACTATCCAATTAATTCCAATTCACATTTTCAACCTTTAAACCATTAAAAAGATTTCTTCTTACCACAATTTTACAATTTTAA